ATCTTATCATTCAAAAAAAGATGAAAACCATGATAATGTCAAACTTGAAAGAAGTATACTATTGAATCTAACTTGTAATCTTGGCATTGGATAGCTTTGGAGTTGAATTTCAATCACAAATTATACTTAATTGATAAATCTTCAAAACTTGGATTTTGTGCCATCAAATTTCTTGGATAAGATAACTTTAAATTTTCTAATTTTAGGAAGATATTCTACTATAGAAATAGAGATGTGATTTGGTATAGATATTGAATCAGCTCCAATCATGTATGTATCTTTACTTCCTATCATTTTTATTGTTCTTAGTCTTGATAAATTAAGTTGATGTATTGCAAGCATTAACTCTCTTGATTGCTCTTGTATTTATACCATTATAATTTTTATTTTAAGAAAATCTATTATTATAAAAATTAAAAAAATATCTAATATTACTCAAGATAAGCAAAAGTAAGGACTTAAGAACAAAAAAAATATTAAGAATAATATTAATTTAAAAGAAGGTAATCTACAACTTCTAATATGCTTATGTCTTATTAAGAAAAAAGAATGATCTACTCTTAAACAAAAAAATATAAAGCTCTAATATTATAAGTGCACTCTTATCAATCTGTCAAAGATATGAATTGAAAGAAGATATATAAATTTGTAAAATCCATGTCAAAAGAAAAGTAATAAAATAAAAATAAAGAAGTATGTATATCAAAAGGAAATTCAAATGACTATTGCCTAAATATAAAGAAACTAGAGACTCTTGAATCTATAGTAGAAGCAAGAAAAAAGTTGACAAAAGTGAAGAAGGCTTCACTCTTGCTTTTATATATACTATCTACTTAAGATCTACATAGTGACGTTCTACATGACTTCCAAAAATGTGTTGACTTTATATGACATGTATCTTGACTTGCAAGGCAAGTTTTCTATTTGGACACGACATAATTAGCTTGTTCCATAAGCTACTAATATATGTGGCATGTAATCAGCTTATTGACTAAGTTTCTAACCTACCAATTATCTACAAATACATATAAAGTCAAAATAATATCTATAAAGCTTCTAGGAAGCTTTTCTAAAAGGTATTATGAAATTAATCTACTTTTATCTATTTCTATCTATTCATATTAGTTAGATAACAATTACAATATATATATATATATATATATATATATATATATTTTTAGCAATGAATTATATAGATGAATTATTATTCAATGATGAATTTTTATTCATAGTTGTTTTTTTATTAATAGATGAATATTAATTAAAATAAAATAAAATAATAAATAAAATAAAATAAGCCAAATAAATAAAATAAATTAAAAATCAAAAGAAGAAATTCTTTTGGTATATATTTTGAAGAAGAATTATTATTATAAGTATAAACTAATAATAAACGTTAGAATTAATTACTTATGTGTTAAAAATATTAAAGTGTGATTTAATTTGGAATTAGACAAGAGCTACAACATATGGAAGTTGCATATTTAATTCACTTGTTGTGAACTAGAATAAACTATTAACTAGTAGATATTTATTTTAGTCAAAAAATAATTATTAGAGATGATTTAAAATGTATTGGAAATTTTATTTAGAATGTTTTTGGATAGAAGGATATAATAGATGGATTATTAATTCGTGCTAATAAAACAAAGATTAAAAAAAAGCATTAATAAAAGAAAAACAATTGATAGATGAAAATAATGAAAGATCATCAAAAAGAATTATAATGTGAGAGAAATCATGACAACAAAAGAATTTTATACAAGAAGAGGAAAAAAGAAGTTTTCTACAAAGAATAAGAATTTTTTTAAAAAAAAATAAAGGCTCTTGCTTATAAATTACAATTGGATATTGAAGCTACTTTAATTTTGAAGAAGAAATTAGAAGAACAAATTTTAGGTAAAACGGTTGAATTTACAATCAATGAAATTCTAAGAATTGTATAATACGAATTTTATGAAGTTTAAGGTTTAGGATTTAGGATTTAGAAAAAAAACCAATCTATAAGAAATAATATGACATAAAATACACAAAGAGAAAAGAAAATGAAAAGTAGTATAGAAAAAGATGATGAAATATAAAATTTTGGAGATATTTCATGTGTTAGATTTATAAAAAATAAAAAATATTTGATTTAAGTTTCTAGTTGTTATTTTCAAAATCATTAGACAAGAGCTATTTTAGAAACTTAGATAAAATTAAGAAAGTTAAAAGAATCAATTATATCATTAATTGATTATAGTTCTAAAATCAATTTGATACCAAAAGAATTATATAAAAAAAGAAATTGGCCTATTGATATTGAACATTAGTAGATGGTAAGATTAAAAAAACAATTCAAATAGAGATTTATTTGGAATTTGCCTAAATATTAAAGTGACAATAGGGCATATTATTAATGAATAAAATTTCTTTGTATAAGATATGTTTATATATCCTATTATAATAAAACAACCATATATTAATTCTACATAAGTGGAAACAAAGGTTATTGATGATGGTTCGACCTATACAAAGATATGAAGTTAAGATAGAAAGAGGGTGGCATAATTTTTAATAATTTGTATAAATCATGAAAGAAATCAAGATAGTTTAAGAGAGCATCATTTGCCAAGGGTGTACAAAGAATTGAAAGATCTTGATGTCTCAAGGATTTTTATTAGAGGCTATTGTAAAATGAAGTTGCAATGATAGAAGGGATGATGGTTTTTTGCCTAATAGGAGAAATGAAGCCATTATAGGATTATCACAAGATGTATATATTTCATTCAAATAATTTTAGAAGTATAGAGAAGAAAAATGTCAAAAATATAGAACATAAGTTGAAACAATGTAGAGTGATTGATAAAAATGAATGCATATAGGAATGTTTAAGAATCTTGATTTAATGGTATTATAGATAATTTATAAATGTTATTGGATTTAGATTTTGAAGATAGTGATGAAGTAGTAAATATTTGTTTTAAGCAATTTTATGATAGGATGAAAGAATATGTAGAAAAACAAGAAATGAAGGTGAACAAAAAAATATAAGATCATTAGAAAGAAGAATAAACTAGTGGCATTGCTTCTACTATTAGATTTTGAAGAAAAGATTGAGAAGGCTTCTATGTAATCAATTTAAGAAATTCAAAGAAAATAGGTCATGAATTCAAGGATATATAGACATTAGATGCTTTGAAAGTTGGATGTGAGAATTTTTTTGACAAAAGATGAAAAAGGTGATAAGGTCTTAGTTTATGATAATAGGTTGGATAACCAATATAGTACACTATAAAAGTATTCTAAACATTGATTTAGACCATATGTTGTGATAAAAGTTTATGTCAATAGTATATACATGTTACAAGAAATTGATGGAACAAAATTGAAGAAAATTATAGAAGTAAAGTGAATCAAATTATTTAAGAATATATCTATATATATATATATATATATATATATTATAAAAGAGCCTAATTAAAAGATATAATAAAAAATATAGATAAAAGATAAGAAGTTAATAAAATCTTATAATGTAAGAATTTTCTTTTATAAAAATAAATTCTATTTGTTTTATATGGCCATTAATAAAGCAAAATAAGATAGATTAAAAAATAAAGAATATAAGTATATAAGCATATAAGCATATAAGCATATATAAAAATAAGGTAGGAATTTATTTTAATAAAAATTACCTAAAAAAAAAAGAATTGATATCTAAAGAAGACTAGTTGCCAATGAAGATTGAAATCAGATCTTGAAGCACAAAATCAAGCACCTACAATGTGATAAGGATTTTTGTACAAATCAATGAATGGAATTTGATAAAAGAATTGAGGAAAAACAATTGAGTATTGGTTTTATGTCATTTGAATTAATATTGAAATTTTGAAGGATTTTTAAAGCTAATATTGTAAATGCTAGATTTAGATTTTTAGAAATAAAAATAGGTTTACAAATTTCAAGATTTTGTAAAGTTTGTATTGAGTGTACAAGTGAAAATTAAGCAATTTGTTGTGCTTGTTGTAAATGTATATGAAAAATGTAAGGTCAATCTAACAATTAGATTGAAGTATATGAAGGTTTTTGTAGGTTATGGTCTCAAAAATTTGAGAATTATAGTCAATGAAAGATTCTAAAATCTAACAATATTTGCTAGTTGGATTAAAGAAAAATTTAGTGAAATCAATTAAGACTTAAATATCTAAATACAATTTAAGAATTGAATCACTTGAATGATTCAACAAAGAAAAATCAATGTTGAAAGATTGATATTCAAATCAAAGAAAGAGGGCAGCTAATGATAGAGAGATTTTAAGAGCTTTTCTTACAATTGATAAGTTTGATTCTTTTCAAATTTTTTATGCTTATTAATTGCATGTTGATTGAAGTCAATGTGAAATTTTAGTCAAGATCTATGATTCAATTAATATTTATTGAAGTTTCAAATAGTTATAGTAATTGATTAAAATTTACTTGAGGTTTTCTTAGGATTGTTTAAAGTTTAGGATTTGATTTAAAGTTTCTAATTGTAAAAAGAACTTTAGGATTCAATTAAATTCCTTCTACAACTACATGCTTAATACATTCTTCAAGCTAAAATACACATCAGAGAACATTGATAACATAAAAACTATAAATAAAAATAATTGCTTCAAACCATAATACCAATGAAATATAAAAAATAATAACCAATTCACAAAGTAGTCATTGTGAATTAATTTAGATTCAAATTTGTGACTTCAAGAATAGAAAGATGATTTTAATTACAACTTCTAAATTTGCTTCAATTCTTTGCCCAATACACCAAGAGTAACTACATTCACTTAATCCCACTACAACAATAATATTTTATGTTTGATAAAATGTTAAAAATTCATTAAATCCATTTAGTTCATTCATTTAATTCATTATAAACTGTCGTATTAAATACATTTTTTAAAATAAAATTCATTCAATATCTAAAAATTAAAATTCGGATAAATGGATAAAGTCTTATTCATGTACGATGATCAAACTGTGAGTCAATAACCAAATTTTTATTTAAGTACCATAATCAAGCCATACAAATACCAATTATTATTATGTTTACTATACAATATTTGCATGGGGTTTTATCAACAAAAGTATGTTATGTGTCAACTTTCAATTTCAAAACTTAAAGAGAATCAATTAGGGCCAGAATTCAACTTGGGGCATGTCTAGGTCGTACCATCATTCCCAAAATTTTCCTGGTCTTCTTTGCGCTCTTAGCACCAAAACAAAGACTGGGAGGACCTTGTTTACAAAATCTAATGAGCTCAACTTCATTGCCTTCCTCACAAGGTGGATGACGTGTCTTCATTCTTAAGCCACTTCTGAATATAGTCCGCAATTTGTTGCCTTGCTTTGTGCACCTCGTTGGGCTTCGCGCACTTGGTGGCATCACCTGCTTGCAATCAAACGTCTCAGAAAGATACTTTTCAAAGCTGGATCAATTGACATCCACAATCCGAATACACCTTTCATATTTATACTATGAATCCATGTAAGATTGAGGTGAGAGCTATGGATAGAGATGGTACCTTCTATTTGATGAGGCGACTGAGGACAACCCCGCAAATCCACTCCATGTCCACAATTATGACATGTAATGATGATTGCAGGTTCTGCTTCATACAGAAGATAAGTTCATCAGATTCATGGATTAATTACTTCTCTCTTGAGTTTTCAATACTTAACATAGCAATAAAGAATACCAAGTCCACACACAAGATTCTCTCCGGAATTTACCACCAGGAGAAGAAATCTGCTTTGAAGCGTGGCGCCACGGATCCTGGGAGCCGTTTGTGAAGACGATATTTGATGCTGCGGGTCACTTCTAAATCACGTAAGCGAAACCCAACTCATCGATTACAATAAAACTGGTCACAACCTTCTGGAGAAAATGCTTATCATCATGATCTATGTTTACAGTGGCTGGCACATTATCAAACAGAATATGTCACAAATACATTGATGATAAGAAACAAATAAACATCTTATAACGTCAGAGTGAACGCAACTTGTGGATATTAAAGGTGCTATACCAGTAATTCCAGACCCACCATAGTAAAGGTTAGTGATATCAACTTCTGGATATGTACCATTCCCAAACACGTTAGCACATAGATCAAGGTGATACCTGCAATACATCCAATGCCACAATTATCTGGCTACTCTTCCGCCTCAACTAGTATTATACAACATCATAAACACTCCAATTAATATCCTACCCTAATAATTCTTTGTCTCTGAGTTAAGTCAAATCCTGCATGCAACTAAAAGAGTTTCTAACTGCATATTCGGTTACTGAAAGAAGGGCGTTAAAAATGTTTCTCACTTTTCATTTACGCCAGGGGAGCGAATGCTGTTTTGAGAAGGTGCAACCTGAAAATATGCGACTTCCGTGCATACTTGATACCACCATTGACGATCACCTACAAAACAACCATAGATGTTACAAATATAGCAAGAAAATGCAGGAAGCAAGGGAATAAGTTTTGGAATCCCCATGAACACGTAAACAGCAGTTACCAAGCACAAAGGAGCATCAAGTCCAAAACAGTCCCAATAGGTTAAGACTTGTTAAGACGATAAGACTCATTACGCATACGAAAATGTGTCACGCCAACGATACTGATGGAATTGATAAGACTGGTTAAAGCATCATTTATTCACCAGTATCTGGTCCAGATTTAGTGAGTTTCAAATGCTCCTGGTCGTAGCTTATAGGATTTACACCAAAGATTCCGAAGAAAAATAATTTCACAAATTCGGCATATGCAGCCTGCAATACCATGCACGTGTACTTCATTAAATCCAAGAGAAGAACACACTGTGCACCATGATCAACCAGTTACAACGTTCTGGAGGATTGCAAGTCCGTTGACACAGCTCCTGACTGATTGAACACCTATAGATTGTGGTAGCACTTAATGATCATAGCATAGTAAGGCTTAAATCGTCATAACTTTGTGTAACCAATATAATCGAAATAGATTTATGCTGAAATCATAAAATCTCCACAAAACTCCGAGAGTGATGGCTTTTCATCCTCCCGATTAACTGGTAAATATGATCCACGCACCGGGATAACAGACATGTCTAGGAATCGATTGACGAAAGTTAACAACGGTGACGCAAGAGAACTAGAAAGATAAACAAAAATAATAATATTACCACAACGTTTTGGCCCGAGCTATATGCGGCTACGAGTGGCAAACAAAGGATGTCGGGGTTGCCATACTGAAACTGCAAGGCATGCCGGTTCACAACTTAGAGTAGCAACACGAATAAATGCATGAAAAGAGTATGACACAACAATTTGTTCAATATATGTGTGTGAATATATGTATTTAATTAATTAATTTATTTATGTTGATATTATATTTTAGTTTATCCAAATAGGGAGCTTTTCCAGTAATGGAAGAACGAGCAAAGACAAACGTTTAAAAAAAAAATGACCCTCCAGATCCAAGAAGTGCATATTTAAAAACTCCAAATGAAACTTCAAAAGCAGTTTTGATTAACAGAAACAACTTACAGCTTCTGCAGCTGCATCGGCAAGCAGATAGCGAAAGTCACCATCGTTTTTCAACTTCACCAAACATCATTTTAGTGTCTGTTAGTACTGCCATTTCAGCAGATAAAAACACATTAGTAATCAATGAAACATCAGTCACTTTTTCTCTATGACTAAGCAGCAGATTGAAGGCGAAAATAATGTAAGCTCCAATAGCCACTATATACTCTGTAAGTAATATACGTGTAGACAGCGTAAGCCATTGATAATTAATTTTAACCATAGGAACCAAGCGCGATTTGTTCAGTATTTGTAAGTTGATACCAAAATATTTATGCTAATGCTGAAAATAGATCAATAACTTTGAAAACCAACAGATTAATTTACTGAATTGCAACGAGCTGTTAGTCTCGAGTAGACTTGATGCCCATAATTGCACATCAGCAACTTCTCCGGATTCAACAAAGCGACAATAATCGAGCGGAGTGCCTGCATTTTCAATTATGATCCTAGCTGATCATGCTATCAAATGAATCATATCCGTGCTCCACATCGAGACCAGAAGACAGACCTGTTCCACTCCAAAAAGTGCCTTAATTTTATGTGAATTGCTGGTCAAGGCTTTGTCCACCTCTTGAGTCACGTCACGAAGGGCATTTGCGCATGCTGGTCCTGCTGATGCTGCAACCTAGGACCATGAAGTTTGTATTTCAGTACTAAAACCAACCCACGTCTTTACTACTTCATTTAAGATCAGTGAGTCGCGTGTTCTGGTATCCATCGCCTCCAACAGATAGTGTTGTCGAAACCATGAAACCCAAGGCACACGACCTTTCCCGACACTTTTTTAAGGGCTTCTAAAATTCGCCTTCAACACTTGAAAGTGAAAACGAACAATTGGAATCCAAACATACCTGCTGATCAAATGCAGTGTAATTGTGGACCGCAAGAACGACTCCTGAGCTTGAAAGACTGCCCCGCACTAGATGCGGGAATTTCAAACGAAACCATGCACTCAAGGCCCCCGGATATGACACCCCAAATACAATCCATGGATTCTCTTTTTCTGTTGTATTGAACTTCTTGTTGATTGATTCCTGTAAAGATCATCCATAACGTTAAGGAGGTGATCAGGCATTCAATATCCTTTCAAAGGAGGTCAAATGTAACTTTTGAAATGACTCACTACTCTAGGGATCTTCAACATGGGAACGCGGCGATTTTAGGAAAGTACTTCCTTGCTGACGACATAAGAGTTTAAGGAACTGCAGCTATGCATCCATACGTGTGCAGGTACGTGGCACCGAACTCCTCCAATACTATCAAAGACACGGAAAATCAGTACCTGGTAGAAATTGCGGTAAGAAGCCAAATCGAAAAGTGCTTGCTTTGAAGACAGATACTTCAGATTGTCAGTTGTAAGTTCCTCAAAAGGGGAGCTTTCGCCGTAATACCTATGCTCCAAACTTACCACAGCTGCTCCAAACTTCTTCGCAAGCACCTGTTAAGGAATACAAAATTTAAATGGATAACCTCAACAATAGTAATACTCATCATTGTCTGCAGCTCTACCATTCGGAATTTGGAGTGGCCAGACTCCATGATTTCTACGGCACCATTCACAATCATTTACTAGCATGCTGATCTACGGCACGTGACCGTGAGACATTAAAAAATGAGACGATTGGGGCAATTTTTCATTTCGGAATAAAAATTACAAGGAAATCATAAAGAGGATTGAATTTTTGTAAGACTTAAAAGCAAACGAACAAACACTCAAACAGATGAGCAAACAGAATTTAATCTGAGTTAGAGCTAAGTCTAGATCGTATTGAGGCCAAAAAATGTACAATTCCAGATATCGAAAAAGCAGGTTAGAATCTCAGCAACATTCGTTTATTACACGAATAAAATAATTAATAAGCATGCAAAGATATACGTGGACTAGTGCAGTATGACCACGTGAACCTTGCTAAACATGGTTGAAGAAAAATAGTGAGCCTGCCAAGAAATGCAAGAGGAAATCAGCTCACCAGAAGGTAGTCATTTGGAATGCCAGAGCACGTGCTTTCCCCACAAATGCGCAGAAATATGGGAGCATTGGGGTCCTTAAAGTAGTCCAAAAATTCGTAGTACCTCTGCTGGAATTCGCGACGGTCCTGCACGAATGGAATAGAAGGGTGGGAAGGAGAGACGGAAATTAGAAAGCAAGTCACATCCACAAGGGAGAATGGTGAACGGAAACAGAATGGAAGAGAGAGAAGACGGTCAGAGCTGAGGGCAGACCTGGGAGGAGAAATGATCAAGGCGCTGGCGGAACCAGACAGGTTGCTGGGCAACGAAGGAGGAGGGATGAGCGAGACGGGAAGGAGGGGAGCGCAGGAAAGCAGGCGCAGAGGAGCAAAGAGAGGGGAGGAGGAGGAAGAGGAGGAGGAGCAGGGGAGGAGGAGAGGAGACCATCGTGCCGAGCGATGGGGAGGTGGGTGATGCTACTTTCCTCTCCCTGGAGCAGATGTGCGTGCTACTTCCCTCCCTCGCTGCCTACCTCTCTCCAGGAGATGCCTACTGCCCCCTCCTGCCCCTCTCGTAGTGCGTGGATGGCGTGGCGGTGACAGCCTCGATAGAGCTTGCTTGCTTGGTTACAAGCGTTCGATCGTGCCAAAGCATTTCCACAGCATCTCCAGCCAAACTCTGCCCCCTCAACAGCCCCCTCCATTGGGCATGCCATGCACGCACCACCACCCCCCCACTCCTCAGCAGAGCTGGATGGATGGATGGACGGCTGCCTTGTCAAGTTTCACTCATTATGTTTGTCTCGTTTGTGGCTATAGAGGGAAGAACCGGATGGACGTGATTGTTGTCGCAGCCAATTTGGTGTAACTGGCAAGGGAGCAATCAAGGCTACAGAACTTATTCCACCAAAGATGGTCATGAGTATCTAATCATGGCTCTACCCAGCAATGGTGATGAGATCCATTTAAATACAACATAGGCTCAATAGACAAATCGAACAAACATGTATTTCAATACTTGCCAAGGTCGTTGTATCAAGCTGCTTTTATATTAAAATATTGTGGAGGACCCTACCTAGGTGCATTGCCAACAATTTTGCAAAAGTATGTTTGTTCTTTTTTGAAGGATAGTAAAATGTTGTATAATGCAAAATTGCTGAAGTACTTGTTGTTGTATTACATGAAATCTTGCTTGAAAATACACTAGGCACTTTGTTGTAGAAGGAAAAATAGAAATTGCAACAAGGTTCTAATAGCTCTACTAAAGTCCTAAATAAACCTCAATTATAGCATAACAATCATAATCAAATCTTAATAAAATCCAATTGAAATCTTAAAGAAATTATAAAAGAAAAATAAAAAAATCATAAAAAATTATAAAAAATTTGAAGAAATAATACAAAAAAAATAAGTAAATCCAAATCAAATCTTAAATTCTAAATAAAACTCTAATCAAATCCTAATCAAATTGTATGAAACCTTAAATCCTAATAAAATCCTAATAAAATCTTCATCAAATCCTAATTGAACCTTAAATCTTAAAGAAACTCTAATCCAACTTTATAATAACTTGAAATTTCAATAATTAATAGTCAAATTATAGATTTTAATTCAAAATTTATGCACTTTTCATTTATTCAATTGAAAACAAGCACAAATAAATTAAAGAAGATTGAATTTATCAAATAGAAGATAAATCCTAAAATTTGCTCAGCTGTTGGCCAGCTTTTCTTTTCAAGCTTCATGCTAATCTCTTAGTACATTATTTCTTAATAGTAGTATTCAATGGCTTTTAAATTTTGCACAATTGTTTCAAATAAAGTGAATTACTGTTCTATAAGGTTTTAACTCAATCCAACCAACAAATTGCTATAAATCTTAAAAACCTTCATTAGTCGTCTAAATTCCAATTCTTAAGTCTCCAATATATTTAAATTTTAATAAGTATTGAATAAAAAATTAGATAAAGTTCAAACTTACAACAAAATTTTAATACAACATTTATGATATAATCACAAAATTTCACCTATATATCATCTATTAATCTTACAAAATTATCCAAAGTATAAAATCTTTATATTTCTTTAAATTCAAAATAACCTCAAAACAACCTTAATTTTGCAAAGTCTTTACAAAGTCATTACAAACTCAATTCATTCAAAACCAATGTTTAAAAAACTTCTTTTTTGTTTGCTATTAAATCACATTCTTTAATTAACAAAGAGCCTCAAAATTACCATAATTATTCAGATTTGTGCCTTGAGATTTGATTTTAATTCTTGTTCATAACCAGTCTTCTTTAGGTATTATTTCTTAGCTTTTAAGGTAATTTTTGCTAAAAACTAATTTTAATTCTTTCTTGAAGATATCTATATCAACTATTTTTCTTATCCACTTTGATTAGCTTCATTTATACCTCTATAAAATAAATAGAAGCCATTTCTAAAAAAAAAAGAAAAATTATTACTTACTAATTTTTTCTACCTCCTTCACTACTATCTATATTTCTAAGATAATTTGTTGTAATATTTTTATTGAATCTCCTTTATAACAGAGTCTAGATAAGATAATTATATAGATACTTAGAATCATGGAAGTTTCTAGAATTGGGATTAGATTAGTGGATCAGGTAGGATCCACTATCGAACATTATAAAAAGAATTTAGGGCGGTTATTTAGGTGGGGTCTATCATAGAACCTTCTAGAAAAGGAATTTAATAAAATTATTTAGATAGGACCTACCACCTAAGAACATTCTAAAAAGTCCAAGGTAGTAGTACAAGGTATAAATAAGACTAGTTAGGGCCTTTTGGAGTATCTGGTTAAGTATGATTTTGAATCCTTTCTCTTAGTAAAATTTGGTTTGCCATCTTTCTACTCAGTTTTGTTCTGTTCTATTTTCATTTGTTCAATTTTGTCTTTTATGTCTTATTCTATTTAGCTCTGTTCAATTTTATTATGGTCTAATTTGTCATATTTTGTGATGAGGCTTTATATTTTTGTGGATTAGAAGGATTTTGAGTTTTTGAGATACTCTAGTCATGTTTCATTTGTGCCAAAGCAAGTGTTAGATTGTTTACTTTCGGTAGCATGTCAATAGTCATCATTTAGTTCAAAGTCAATTTTTGTGGTCACATTGGATAATATGTTGAGGCTACCATGAGCTATTCTTAAAAAGTCAATTGAAAAGTGAAAGGGTATTATAATAGTGAAATCTAATGGAGAAATTATAGTATTGGAGATATGACGAAGCAATCCTAGATGGAGGCTAAAATACAACACCTCCTAGGCCAAATAGCTACTTTGTAATGGCAAATAGAAGCTTCAAGGATAAAAGAGTAGACATTTGTTAGGTTGAAATTGAATAAGTCTAGTATATATTCTGAAACTTTAAGATAGGAAGATTTATATCAATGGCTCTTCAACATGTAATAATATTCTTAACTATTTGGGACAAATACCACTAAAGAAATTATATATGTAGTCAGTTATTTGAAAGATACAGCAGCTATTTGGTAGCAACATCGAGTTCAAAGCTATGAAGCTTAAGGTGGATTTTGCCACTGGGAGGAGTTTAAGACCAAGTTTAGAAATCAATTTTGGCCCATCAATGCACAAAAGATAGTACACCATCAATTAATAAATCTTATACAAAGATTATGTCTTTCGATTCCACTTTCTATATTTTTAAATTGGCAATGTTTCGGAGGGAAAGATAATGGATTGATTCCTACAAGATTTGAAACCTAGGAAGCAACAAGAGGTAGAGCTAAGAGATCCACAAACATTTAAAGAGGCAATTTGGATTGTTGAGAAGGTCAATGCTACAGATTTTAGAAATCGTGGAATATAACCTATAGTGTGAAGTCTTATGTTGCTATGTAATATTATGGCATAATAACCAATGCCAATGGAAATTGATGCCTTACAAGGATTATTGATACCACAAAGACGACAAATATAGGTGCAAAAGGGATTGTGTTTTTATTGTCAGGAGCTAGGCCATCAGATCAGAGGTTGTTCAAAATGTCAAAATTCAAGCACTAATAAGAGAAGGTAGGTTTATAGTCTTGAAGTTCACTAAGTCAATAATGAGTCAAAGTAGAAAAATGAGACTTTTCAGTAAAAGCACCAAAGGCTAATATTGGAGATAGCTACTATCTCTTAGAGATAAATGGCATAACCTTTGATAACTATAAAAAGAATCAACTAGTATATCTAACAGGACTACTAAGAAGACAATCTTATTGAGTACTTGTAGATTGTGCCTCTACAAAAAATTACATCTCAACTAAAATTCCCGACCAATTTGGAATTAAAATTAAGATAATTAAGGGAAGAAGTATGTACCTTACACCTGATTAAGAGAATGTATTGAGTGAAATATTTGAAGAAGAAACCTTGAAATTGACAGATGCTTATGTCTTAAGAGAGAGATTTAAGATTACAAAGCTAAGGTATGATGTTATCCTTGGTATGCCATGGCTAAAGATGAAAAATAAGCAAGTTGATTCGGTAACAAGAACAATCTCTTTTAAAGATAGAGGATATAATGTGACTCTTTACACCTTTACATCAAGTGAAGAGAAAAGATAATTTACAACTAAAGACTTACTCATAGAGACGACCTTCATGAAGAAGTAAATACAATATGAACAATTAATATATATGGTGGTTCCAAATCTTGCATAAATAGTGAGAAAGACATCCAAAAGGATAGAACGAAGAAAACAACTTATATAAGAATATCATGATGTCTTTCCAACCAACCTACCTAATAGTATACTTCTTGATGAAGGTGCTTCTTTTCAAATAGAAATATTGCTGAGAGCCAAATAAATAAGTCGATCACTTTATTGCCTAGTATCAAAAGAATTTGAAAAGCTACAAAAGACATTGGATGAATTCTTAGATAAAGGCCTCATTCAAGAAAGTACATTACTATGGAAAGCACATATACTCTTTGCCCCTGAGAAAGATAGTAGAGTTTGGATTTGCATCGACTATCAAGGCCTCAATAAGTAAACTATTAAAAATGTATATTTACTTCCACGCATGGATGATCTTCTTAACCAACTTTGAGGTGCGATCATCTTTAGTAAATTGGATCTTTGAAGCAACTATTGGCAAACACATATTGCAAGAGAGGATGTAGAAAAGATGGCATTTTATAAGCGCTATGGACATTTTTAATGGTTGGTTTTATCCTATGGCCTTACCAATGCTCCAACCTCTTTCATAAGTGAGATGAACAGATTGTTTCAAGACTTTTTGGATAAGTTTGTAGTTGTCTTCATTGATGAATATCCTTATATATAGTAAAATCCCTAAAGAGCATCAATAACACCTACAAGAAGTGCTATGTTGGCTAGAAGATAGTTACTTCTATTATAAGTAATCAAAATGTGAACTTTAGAAGTCAAAAGTTACTTTTTGGGGGCATGTGGTTTCTTCCAAAGGTATGCGTATGGAACAAGATAAAATAAAAGCATTGGAGGATTGACCAACCCCTAAGGATGCTTCTAAAGTTTGCTCATTTTTAGGCCTTGTTAGATACTATTGCCGTTTTGTTTGGTGATTTGCTTATATTATTGCCTTATTGACAAACCTATTAGAAAAAAATACTCCATT